AACAAAAGAAATCAGGTGGCGTTTGAGGCAACAGGAAGTCATGCATGGGGGGGGGGACGGTCACAGAGGAGGGACATGGGCCTTATCAAATTGCAGCTCAGTGGTTCAGTGCCCCTGGGTTCGGGGACCTGTAGTGTGACCCCTCGGGTGGGGCCTGGCTTGGAGCAGGTGGACCCGGCGGCCCGCTGGAGGCGGGCAGGGGGCCTGGAGAGGAGGCAGGTGCAACTGTTGGGCAGAAAGCGATGACAGCTTGGGCCTGCGCGGTTGCCATGGGAACAACAAGACGCGCGTGGGCTGGAGGGATGCTTTGGAGGCCGGGTGCTGGGACAGTCCTTGGTGATGGAGGGAGAGGGGGGGAGGACCAAAGGGCATCAAGATGCTGCTCAGGCGTCCAGGACCACGAGGGTGGGAGGTGGGAGGCAGGACGGGACATGCAGGGCCCCTCAGAGCTGAGCTGACCACCCCCCCCCAAGCCACCGAAGCCGATGGCCGGGACAGCTGCCCGACATTGTGGAGGTGCTGCTTCTGTTTTTCTGTTATTTTTTGGTGCTGAGCACCCCCCACTGAGCTGCCTCCAGCCCCTGGGGACGAACTTCAGGCCACTGAGCTGTATATTTAAAAACTCCTAAGTCTCGGTTTTTCAGTCTGGTTTGAAGTCAGCTCCTGCCTAGCACATGTGAGGCCCTGGATTCCATCCCCAGCGCTGCACAACGAATAAATAAATCACCAAAATGGCAAATTGTCATGTTATATAATCATCCCAAAATATCAGTCAGGCACTGGTCCCCAGACCCCCCATGGATACCGAAATTCACAGATGCTCCAATCCCTGATAGAAAACGGTACAGTGTTTGCATAGAGCCTCTCCACATCTTCCTGCACACTTTATTTTATTTTTGTGTGATACTAGGAATGGAACCCAGGAGGATGCTACCACTGAGCTATACTCCCAGCCCTTTTCTATCTATCTGTCTGTCTGTCTGTCTATCTATCTATCTATCTATTTAGACAGGGTCTCACTAAGTTGCTGAGGCTGGCCTCAGACTTGCAATCCGCAATCCTCCTGCCTCAGTCTCCTGAGTCACTGCCCTTACAGGCCTGTGCCAGTGCACCTGGCTTCTCCAGTAGACTTTAGGTCATCTCTAGGTGCCTTAGAATACTAATAGAATGTGAATGCTGTGTACATAGATGTTAGACTATATTGTTTAGGGAATAAGGATAAGTGGAAAGTCTATATATGTTCAATACGGGTGCCAATTTAAAAAAAAAAAAAGCAAAAACAAAAACTTTTTTTTTAGTTTTGATGGACCTTCGTTTATGTATAAGCGGTACCAAGAATTGAACCCAGTACCTCACACACGCAAGGCAAGTGCTCGACTAGTGAGCCACAAATCCAGCCCCCAAATGCAAATTTTTCAAAATATTTATTTATTCATGTATCTTTAGTTTTAGGTGGATTAGTTTTGTTTTTATGTGGTGCCGAGGATCGAACCCAGGGCCTCATGCATGCTAGGCGAGCGCGCTACCACTGAGCCACCACCCCAGCCCCACAAATGCAAATTTGTAAAATCAATTTTTAGTTATAGATGGACACATGCTAGGCAAGCACTCTACCACTGAGCTATAACCCCAGCAGAGACAATTTTTTTTACAAAGATTTTTGATCCACAGTTGGTTGAATCCATGGATTTAGAATATATAGAGCTAGAGGAATGACTGTGTATTTTACCACAATTTAAAAAAAATATGGGGCTGGGGATGTGGCTCAAGCGGTAGCGTGCTCGCCTGGCATGTATGCGGCCCGGGTTTGATCCTCAGCACCACATACAAACAAAGATGTTGTGTCTGCTAAAAAAATTTAAAAAAAAAAATATTAAAATTCTCTCTCTCGGGGCTGGGGATGTGGCTCAAGTGGTAGCGCGCTCGCCTGGCATGCGTGCGGCCCGGGTTCGAACCTCAGCACCACATACAAAGATGTTGTGTCTGCCGAAAACTAAAAAATAAAATAAAATAAAAAATAAAATTCTCTCTCTCTCTCTCTCTTTAAAAAAAAAAAAAAAAGAGGCACCAGGCACAGTGGTGTACACCTGTCATGTCAGCAACTTAAAAGGCTAAGGCAGGAGGATCCCAAGTTTGAGGTTAGCCTGGGCAACTTAGTAAGATCCTGTCTCAAAATCAATTTTAAAAGGGCTGGGGTTGTGACTCAGGGGTAGAACACTCCTGGATTCAATTATCAAAATTGAAGAAGAAGGAGAAGAAGAAGAAGAAGAAGAAAGCTATAAACTGTTAAGACAGTATTACAACAGCAACATCTATCAGTAACTCATGGTTGGTTGTCCACACACCAATTAAGAACAAATTGAGGGGCTGAGGTTGTGGCTCAGTGGTAGGGCGCTTGCCTAGCACGTGCAGGACCCTGAGTTGGATCCTCAGCACCACATAAAAATAAGTAAACAAAATAAAGGTATTTGTCCATCTAGAACTAAAAAAATACATATTAAAAAAAAAAAGAACAAATTGAGCCAAGCAGTGGTGCACACCTGGAATCCCAGTGGCTTGGGAGGCTGAGGCAGGAGGATCATGAGCGCAAAGCCAGCCTCAGCAAAAGCAAGGTGCTAAGCAACTCAGTGAGACCTTGACCCTGTATATAAATAAATAAAATTCAAAATAAATACAAAAGAGGGCTGGGGATGTGGCTCAGTGGTCGAGTGTCCCTGAGTTCAATCCCGGTACCCGGCTCCCCAAAACAAAGAACAAATTGAAATTGGCACAGTGGTGCATGCCCGTGATCCCAGCATCCTGGGAGGCTGAGGCAGGTGGATGGCAAGTTCAAGACCAGCCTCAGCAGCTTAGTGAGGCAACCTAGTGAGATCCTATCTCAATAAAAAATAGAAAAGGCTGGGGATGTGGCTCAGTGGTAGAGCGCACCTGGGCTTAATACACAGTACCACACACAGAGAAAAATCTCACTTCTACCAATCACATACCCAGGCAGTTGTAGGTGATGGGTTCCTAACATTTCCATCATCAAAGAAAGTTCTACCAAGTGGTACTGGGCCGGCTTCCTTCTCAACTCTGCCCAGGTGTCATTTCCTGGGTGACTTTCCTTGGACTGCTAAAATCTCATATGGGGCCCCAAATGACAACCGGGGCCCATGTTGAATTGATATTCACGTACCAGGCAGGGCCCCACAGCAAGCAACACTCAGAACAGACAGAAAGATGATTCAGAAGAGTTATGATAAAGGCCACAGCCTGGGTAACTACTGGGAATGTGTGGCATGCAGGGTGAGCGGGAACAGGAGCTGTCCCCATGCCCAGGCTGAAGACCCCCAGATACAGAATAGAAAGTGGGCTGCCCAGCCAAGCTGTGATTTTCTTTAATTTATTAATTTAATTTAGTTTTGAGATAGTCTTACTAAGTTGCCCAAGCTGGCCTCCAACTTGTGATCCTCCTGCCTCAGCCTCCTGAGGAGCTGGGATTACAGATCTGCACCACTACTCCCAGCCAGAGCTGTAGTCTGGGATCTGGGGATGCCAGGAGGGACACCACCTGTTCTCTCCTCATCCCCCACCAGCAAGGGAAGGCAGAGGACCCAAGTGAATCTACCTTCTAGGACACAGGGCCGGATGAAGGGAAGAGGAGCTGACACCCAGTCCTGGGCTCCTTCTGACTTGCTTTCTGGCTGCCATTGCTCTCCCACCATCCCCCACGGTCCATCAGTCAACCTGGGGCCCTGGAAACCTCCCCCACCACTGCCTGTGAGCCAGGACCAGGTCCTTTATCCCACACCTTGTTAGGGGCTAGGGCCAGCACCAGCCAGGAATCTCAACAGAGACCAACGCCAGTCCACTGAAGCTACAGGGGTCATCTGGAAGGATCTGGGGAAATCTGCAGATTTTTTTTTTTTTTTTTGGTTGATTGTACTTTGGTTCTCTCTATTTTAGTTGTAGATGGACACAACATCTTTATTTTATTATTTTATCTTTATGTGGTGCTGAGGATCGAACCCAGGGCCTCATGCATGCTGGGCAAGTGCTCTACCACTGAGCCCCAGCCCAGCCCAGCCCTGTATCTTTGGGTTTTAAGCAGGATGTGCCCATACCAAGGTGAAGACACCCCTACCCTTCATGAGTCCTCCCGGATGCAACGTGCAGAGGGAAAAGGCCACATTGGGTGTCCTCAGGGAAGGGCATAGACAGTGCCCTGAGACTCTCCCCAGTGGACGGGAACTCTGTCCCTCCAAGAAAGGGGCATGGAAGCCAGATAGTCACATCACCAGGCAGCCTCTTCAAGATGTCTCACAGGGACCCTGGGGCCTAGGAAGGGGCGCTTGTCTACCCAGACCAGGCAGGTGACTGGAGCCACTTTCTCAGGGCCATGCCTTCACTGGGAGCGCAATCTGCACCAGGCAGCAGGAGAAGGCAGCTGGTTTGTGGCCCTCTTGCCCGTGAAAACTTCCAGGGACTTTTCTTGTGTCAGAAAGGGCACAGCGGGCAGGGGACACGGCCACGCTCAGGCCACTTCTCCCAGAGCACACAGACAGACAGAAGCAGGCTCAGTCCAAGGTCCTTTATATACATGGTTTATTCCTCTCCAGCCCCAGTCACCCCTCTCCACGTCCTCCCTCCCTCTCTTGGGGGGCTGGGTCTCCAAGAATAGGGAGGGGAAGAAGGGAGAAGCCCTGATAGGAAGTGGCTCCCCTTAGCCCTCAGCCCCCCAGAGAGGGGAGAGAGAAAGAAGAAAGGTGACACAAAACGGGTTCAAATACTCAGAAAGCCACACGATGAAGGACAAGAAGAGCACACCTCAAAGAAGCAGGATGGAGGAACAGGGCCAGGCCACCCCACCCCGCCAGGCATCGTGCCCCAGGACCTGGTGGAGAGAGGGATGGGACTGGGGGAGAGAAGGATCGGAGGTGGGGAAGCCCAAGGACGGTCCCACGCTGACCTTGGACTCCCAGGCGCAGGGCAAGCGAGGCCAGAAGGACCTCTGAACGTGGCAATGCTCGGGCCAACCGAGGCCTACAGCTTGGTCAGGTCCAGCTTCAGCTTGTAGGGCGGGGGGCTGTCCTCACAGGTGTGTGATGGCGGAGGGTAGAGGGGCCAGTCTGGCTCCACCATGAAGCCCTTGTGCTGCTCCAGGGTCAGGGGCTAAGGCAAGAAGGGCTCCTGAGTGCCCCAGCTAGCCAGGGCCTCGCCGCCAGGAGAGGATGGCCCAATCTAGAACCAGGGAACAGTCCCTCTGCCACCCTCCTGCCCCCGGCCCCGCCCACCTGGAACTTGAGGTGCTGGCCTGGTGCGGTCACCAGGGTGGAGCAACTCAGCCACAGCATCACCAGCGCAGACAGGAAGAGGCAGCAGGCCAGGATCCAGCGAGGCAGCCCCGAGCGCCTGGCCCACCCCACAGGCACCGCTCAGAGGTGGCTGCAGGGCTCAGGGAGAACCTCTCCTCCGCTCCCACCTCCAGCCCACCCCCAGGGTCCTGCCACCCACCGGGACATGCAACTGAGGAAATCGTTGTCCTGCGGCTCTTCAGACTCCACCTTGACCTTGCTGCTGGTCTTGACGCGTATCTTGGCCTTTCTCACCTTGTCCAGGGGGCCCACCGGGTCTGAGAGAGAGGTCATTTCTCAGGGACCCCCAGGCCTCCACCAAGAGATCATGAGTGAAGAAGGGAGGCCAGGGCCTGGGGCAGTAGGACATGGAGTTCTGGAATGGAGATCAGAACCCTGGAGATGGGCCATAGAACCGGAAGGATGGACCAAGGAGGCCTGGAGATGAATCAAGGAATCCTTGGAAGTGGACCAAGGAACCCTGGAGATGGACCCTGGGAGAAGAACCATGGGACCCTGGGGGGTAGACCATGGAACCCTGGGAGATGGACCAAGGAAGGCTGATGATGGACCCTGGGAAATGGACCATGGAACCCTGAGGGATGGATGAAGGAACCCTGGAGATACAAGGAACCATGGAGATGGACCCTGAGACCCTGGGAGAGGGACTGTGAAACCCAGGAACTGAGGATGGGAATCCCGATCCTATAAGGCTCTCTTGCCAATTGGAATCCTGTGACAGTGGGGGACAAAGCACTGGTGCAGTTGAGCCTTACCCACTTACCCACGTGCACCTCCAAAGCCTCAGGGTGAGATCCCCTCCAGGTCACCTCCACTCGCTGCAGACGGCCCCCCTGGAACCCAAGGCTCTCGACTACAGGCTGGGTCTGGGTCAAGAATAAGACAGCACAGAGAGGTTGCTTCAAGGGCACCGTGAGCCCTGCAGGCACCTCGCTGGGTCCCACTTGGCTACAATGTCTCCTGCCAGGCTGATACCTAGTTCCATTAGGGGGAAGGTAGGGAGGATCCCACCCCACGGGCAGGGGGTTGATGCTACTCCCTGCTTTCTTGGACCCCTCCACCTGCCTAAGCACCATCCTTCAGTTCATGAAATAGCAAGGTGACTCAGGACAAGCCAATAGAATAACAAACTGGCTGGTATGGTCAAATGACCCCGCCAGGACCAATCATAATAAATCCCAGCTCAGTAAAAACCCTAGAGGGGTTGTAGTCTAGAGCCTCCAGCACCCTCCCTGTGGTCAGGAGGGAAAGGCATGCCTGGAAATGAAGCCACTACAGAGGAAAGCTGAGTCAAGGGTGGAGTAAAACACTGAGCTCGTGGATCCAACTGTGCCTGAAGCTTTTCTCACCTTCGACTTTGCATGAGCCAAGAGTCAGTACATCCCACCTTTCACCCTGACCACCCACCTAGCACTCGTGGCCGCTTCTAGAGCTCTCACCTGGAACACCACCACCTTCCCATTGTCAGTCTGCAGGTAGTATGTCCAAGTGGAGGAGACGAAACCCTGGGCCGAGTTGACGAGGTCATTGCAGAGGGTGGAAAATAAGTCCAGGAGGGATAAGGCCCCACTAGGAGTTTCCAGGACCTTTCTCTGGTGAAGGGAGACCCAAACATGGAAATGTCAACAAAGAAGGGCATTAGCCCTTGGGAAGAGGGCTAGAGGAATTCTCTGTATTCAGATGTGGCTGAGTGGTTTGGGGCAACAAAGACTCCATCTAATAAATGTAGACTTTGCTCAGCATTTGGCTTGCAGTGTGCCCCAGGGGGACTGGATCGCCCTCTCTGACCCTTAAAATGGGGATGATTCTCTTCCCTCATGGGATGGCCACAAGAGTTCCATTAGGATGTCTGCCAAGCACCTGGCATAGCACAAGCTCCTAAGGAAGAGTAGCCACTATTACTAAAAATCTCATCCCTGTTATTATCGTCATTAGTATTATTACTACTACTGTTTTGCTGCTGGGGATGGACCCCAGGGGCCTCTCCCTGCTAGGCAAGTGCTCTGCCACTGAGCCACGCCCCCATTCCATAATTATTCAAATGTGGATAGTGTCAAGGAGTCCTGAATGGGTAGGGGACATCGCAGTTTTCTTTTCTGAACAGTAGAAATCTGGAGGGGGAGAGCAATGTGGGTGAAGGGGGAGACTTTCTGGGGAGTTCTAGTCTGCGAGTCTCTGGCTGTGTCACATGTTTTCTCGAGCCTCAGTTTCCCCGGATGGGGTGATGCGTCGCCTTATTGAAAGACTAGGACAGGTTTTTTTTGGGGAGGGAAGGGGTACTGGATTGAACTCAGGGGCACTCAACATCCCCAGTCCTATTTTGTATTTTATTTAGAGACAGGGTCTCACTGAGTTGCTTAGGTGCCTCACTTTTGCTGAGGCTGGCTTTGAACTCATGATCCTTCTGCCTCAGCCTCCCGAGCCGCACCTAGGAGAGTTTTTACCGCCTCCAGTTGTGCGTGTGCTTGGGAGCGCAGGCCTCCCTGAACCTCAGCTCTAAGCCCCTCTAGATGACAATGGCTACCTTTTTGTCACAGGAAAACTGCTTCGACCAGCACCAGGTAACTCTGGTAGCCTGGTGGCAGCCACAAGCCGTGGTGGCATCAATCTTGACTTTTGCACAGTCCTAACTGTGTGACCTGGGCAGTTGCTCTTTGGGCCATCAAATGAGGGTGACAGTCTGCTGCTTCTGAGTGGCTTGAGGAATTTGGGACAGGCTACAGTAGGCCTGGAGCTATATAAATATTTGATGAACGGTGACTATTGTCTGCCACTTACAGCCACTTACTCCTAGGAAGGTGGGGGGGGCGGGAGCAGAGGAGGAGGGGCGATAAGTTCCGTGTCACAGAGTTTACAACTGAGGTTGGAGACATGACAGGGCTCAGTTGAGGTCACCTAGTAGGCCTAGAATGGAACCCGGATGTAGGTTCAGATGACCGGGTGCGCCCAGGAGCCGGACTGGGAGGGAGCCCACCTTCTGCTCCAGCTGGAGATCCTGCTCCGGCTCAGGGGACTGGCTCCAGCAGCCCTCGCGGCAGGCCCGCTGCTCCGTCTCCTTCACGTAGGCTTCCACACAGGCTGCAGGGGTGGGAGGCGTGACCCGAGCGGCCATTCCCAGGCCACCTCTCCCCACCCTGGCCCAGCTGGCCAGCCCCGCCGACCCTCACCTGCTTCGCATTCAGTCTGGGTGGCGTTGGGCTTGGAGCTCTTGGCCACGAATCGGCAGATGGAGAAGAGACGGCAGCCACGCTCACAAGCGCTGATCAGCACCGCCTTGTCATACGGGGACTCTGAGGGGCTCGGAAGCCCCGCCTGGGGGAGGGGTGACACCGGTTCAGGCCAGCGGGGGGGGGGGGGGGGGGGTGGGAGATGCAGGCATGGGGGTTGGGGGAGAAGAAGGTTTGGCCCCTCCCCCAATCTAGGGAGTTTGAGGTGAGGTTCGAGAAGGCTAAGGATTTGGGGGAACAGTCTCTTAGCTCTGAGGAAAGGAAGCGGGAGATGGGGGGGGGCGGCTAGAGAAGCACAATGGAAGATCTTGGGGAGCTGAGTGGGCCCCTCTCGGGATCCCAGGGAGGAGGAGGATTGAGGAGTCTCAGGAAGGGCACTCAGAGACGGAAATTTGTCACCCTTTGTATCAGGTTTGGGGGTCGATGATGAGTGGGGGCTGGTAAGTCAGAGGGGGAGGTAGGGGTAAGGATGTAGGAGTCAGGTGGGGAGGACCATCAGGCCTGACGAAAGCAAGGACTGGCCTGTCAACAGCCCTTGCGCAGCATAGTGCGATGGGATCCCGGGAGGTGGCCTCAGTCCCAGCCTCCCTACCACTCCCTACCCCCGCTAGTTAGGACCCCCACACACACATACACAGGCATACACGGCCCTCATCCGAGGGATCTGCATCGCCAAAGCCCCTACTAGAGGGACTCCCGTAGCCCCCTCCTCGCGTAGAAATACCCATATCCCCGTCGGAGGGACCCTCAGCCTCTCCCCCACCGTTGGGACCCCTCCATTCTCGACTCCTCCCCTCTCGCTCTGGTCCCAGAGAACCGCTTCCCCAGCCCCTCCCCCATCGGAGAGATTCAGGGTCCCCCCAGTTGGCGCCGCAAGCGATTCACCTGCAAGGGCCGTGGGCCGGGGTCGCGCTCGCGACACCGCTGCTGGCAGTTCTGTGTGTCCCCGAGCTGTGGAGCGAAGGGGTCGCGAGCGGGCGGCGCGGAGGCGGCGGGCGGCGATGCCAGCAGGAGTAGCACCAGCAGCGCCGGCATCAGCGCCACCGCAGCCATGGCAAGGGGATGCGCTGGGGGCGCGGGAGACTCGGGCTCCGGGGCGGGAGCCGAGGATGCAGCGGCGGCGGGGACCGGGACGCTGACGTCACCCGAGCGAGGCAGCCTGGGAAGGGGGGGTGGAGGATGCGGAGAACCCGTGCGGAGAGCGGCGCTGCGGCACCGTCGGGGGCGGGCGGGGTGGGGCAGGTGGATCTCGGCCACCAACGTCTGTGCCACCTTGAGGGTCCCACGAGTGGGGGCATCTCTGCCAGCCCTAGGGGACAAAAGAGAACAAATAGGGTGATGTGATGAGCCAGGGGTCAATTCTCCAGGGATGTCAAGGAGAGCCTCGCCTAGAAGGCGACATTTGAGCCGGCGGGACGTAGAAGGGCAATTCAGGCAGAGGGAAGAGCCAGGACCCTGGGGCAGGGAAGAGCTCATTGAAGGAAGGGAAGGTAGGAGGATCGCAGGGCTGAAGCCGAGCCAGAGAGGGGAATCGAAAGGTGAGAGCCGCAGGACCTGGTCGGCGAAAGCTGGCATCTTCTCCTTTGGCATGTTCTACGCCAGTTCAGAGGGTGGTGCCTTGTGGGCAGCGCGCCTCCTCCAGGAAGCCCTTTTTGCCTCTCCACTAGCCCCTCCCACCACTAGCTTCGCCTCGGATGGCCCAGTCTGGATTCAAACTTGGGGAAACCGGTCCCTGTCCCCCAGATTGGGAGCCACTCGCCCTAGGACTCAGTGGGAAGGAACACAGAGATGTACACAGAACTATTGCAATGTCTAATTCTCGTGGGAAAACTTGGGGGGGGGGCAATCAGGGACAGTTCTGGCTTTCATAGCTGCCACACCCCATAGTGACAGATTGGATCTCCAAGAGAAGAATATCGGGTTAGGCGGTCCACTCAGCTTCCTCTCCTTTAGGCATGAAAAGGGGGCGCTGCCTCTAAACCTTGGTCCTCTGAGAAGTTGTCCCAGGTCTCGCTGACGTGCCTGACGCAGGTGCTTGCAGAGGTCGCGCTGAGCCGAGGCCCGCAAGTCCCTATCGACGCTCCGCCCCCGCAGACGGGGCGGCTGCCTTGCAGGGTCGGCGGGTCAGAGGGCGCCGCAGGTTCCGGCTGGGAAGGAGGAGACTGGGGGGCGGGCTGGCGCGCCCCCTTCCCCGGCCGGCCGTCTCGCTTTCATCTCCGCGGCCCCAGCCGGCCCCCAAGTGGCTTAATCAGGCGCGGCTGTGCCTGGCGGACCCCGAACATCTGGATCCCGGCGCGGCCCCTCCCCCGCCCCGCCCCGCCCCTCCCAGGCTAGGCCGCCCGGACCCAGCGGTGAAGGCCTCCTGCCCTGCGTTTGCTGGAGAATCGAGCCCGGGAACCCGGCAGCTAACCCACCGTTGCGCCAGGCCCACGCCTCCAGAAGCTTCCCAGTGTACTATGACCAGTATTGTCCCCCATTTCACAGGTGGGAGACTTAGACTCCCAGACTCTTGGGCAGAGCCAGGATTCAAGTCCACACATGCCAGTTCAGAGTCCCGAGCGTTTAACCCTTTCACAATCCCTGTCCTTCATTCATTTCAAACAAAACACTTCTCGCAACAGCCCTCTAAGATAGGTACTAGTGGCTTTGTCCTATTTCCAAATTAGGAAATTGGAACCCAGCGGGTGGCTCAGGTGACAAGTCAGAGAACAGAGCCCGGCAGAGCCCTACGAAACCTCGTAGGGTGTGTGATGGGGGGACTTTAGACATAAGAAGTGTTGTTTAAAGTGCAAAAGGAAGGAGGGACCCCTCGCACCCTTTTGCATAAGGGGAAACTGAGGCTGGAGGGATTCGACCTTTGGCCCAGGTTGCCCGCGGGCAAAGGAAGAGAGTTGGCCGCCCACTCCTCCGCCTTTCCGCGCCAGGAGGCCGCTGGAGGGGAGAGGAAGAGGACTTGACCCCGGCCCCCCAGGTGAGCCCCCGCGCCCCTCCTGCAGTTCCCGAGGGAGCCGGTCCAGGTGAGGGGCGGGCGGGCCGGCGGGCGGCCGGGGTCGGGTTTCAGGAAATCCGCCGACATTCCTTCGGGGCTTAAGAGGGAAAGTTGACTCGGCGCCGCCCCTCGCCCCCCCCCTCACTTCCTACCCCCCGGGGCGGCCCGGCGGGGGCGGCGGGCGGGGGGCACTGCGGCCGGCCCCGGCGTGAATCAGCGGCCCGCCAGGCCTCCGGGAAGCGGCAGCCGAGGTCAGGGCGGACGGCGGACAAGCGCCCTTTGTCCCTTTCCGCCCTCACCACGACCCTGTTGACCCCCACCCCCAAGCCGGGTCCAAGCTGGGGAGGAGGCAAGGCACCGTGGCGCCGCGGTTTGCTGACGGCTGGAGGGGAAAGAGGGGTGCAGCCGCTCTCCGGCCAGCGGTGCCCCTCCAGTCTTTGGAGTTTCTTCAGGGTGCAGAGGGGCAGGGCACGTAGGCCTCCCCTGCCCTGAGGCACACCAGCCCAGCCCAGGACCCCGCTCAGCTCTGGTATTCCCCAAGCCTCCCCTCCAGAGCCTGAAGTTCAGAGCACCTAACTCTGAGACCCAGGAATAGGGACTCCCCAAGCTCAGGCTCCAGGGTGGAAATTACACAGCCCAGGGCACACACAGGCCTGAAACCCACAACCAGACCCTTATCCCAGGACAACCAGCCTCCACTTCAAAGCAGCCATGGGGATGGGTGGTAGCAGATTGGGAGAGGCAACTCTCTGCTATCTGCACTCCTACCTGCTTTGGGGTCCCACAGGACCCTGAAAGTGCCTTTTGCAACTGCCCTACCCTGATGCCTCCTCAGTGCCCTGGCATCACCAGGTGCTGGGACTTGAAACACCCCCATCCTGACCCAGAAGTGACTTTTGGTTGGAGGACCTAGGAAGAGCCCTTCCCCCACCCCATGGAGGGACCCTCCCTTCATCTTCCCCTCAGTACATTCCCAGCCACCTTCAAGGACTTGGGTCAATATTTGCCAGAAGTTTTTTCATCCCTGGTTCCTTTTCCTGACCAAAAAAAAAAAAAGGGTGGAAGAAGGGGTTAAGTTGCTGGGGTACCCAGGACAGGGAAGGGTGCGTCTTGGGGTTATAAGTCAAAGGTATGGGGTAAAGTTCACCCAAAGATTACATTCCAGGATGGGGATGGACAGACTAGGGAAATGGTTCATACCTTTCTATGGGTAAGGACCAGAGAAGGACGTCTACTAGTTTGGATCACACAGCAAGTCAGGGGCTATTCTGGGACCTGAGGCAGCATAGCTTGCTGGAAAAGAGTTTTCTTGCTAGTTGAAACTCTCCTTGGTCCTTCATATTGCAAATATTTATTGAGCTCTTTATTGGCCCTCTCTGGGCTCAGCATGGGGTCCTTAGGACACTCAGGGTACTCAGGGTCTTAAGAAAATAAGTGGGAAAGGAAATCAGTTGTTTAAAGAACTGTGATATATAGACAATAAAAGTGACAGGGATGGAGAGTACCAGGGAAGGATGGAGGGGGTGCTCTCTGAGAACTTGGGACCTCACACAAGAGAAGGTGCTAATATAGGGGAAGATTTGGGGAACAGCATCTCGGTGCAAGCAAGAGCCCATGTGCAAAGATCCTTCAATACTAAAGAGCCTGGCATGTTTGGGGGAAGGGGGCTGCAGCGGCTGGTGCAAGCGAAGGAGTGGGGGGAGAAAGGGGAGAGGGTGGCGGGGTGGAGAAGTTAGTTTTGCTTCTTTTAAAAATTCTGTATTCAGACAAATGAAGGAGGATTAGGGGGAGAAGCCCCAGAGGAGGCTGGGCCCATCCCAAAGGGGACCTGGACGAGGATGAGGTAGGGAGAAGGGATCAGAATCTCAGAATGGGATGTGTTTTGGAATCAGAGCCAAGAGGATTTGCTGATGGATTGGACGTGTGGGAAGAGCGAAGGAGAGAGTTGTCACGCACGCTTCCAGGTCTCTGGCCTGAGCACCTGGGTGGAAGGGAGAGCTAGCTCATTCCCCCCATGACTGGGGGAGGAGCAGAGATGGGGAAAAAATAAAGATGCTGCTCCAGAAGTCCCAAGTCCTCCCAGGAAGGGGTCAGACATCACTACCCCCACTGGGAACATGTGCAAGGCAGAGGCAATGGGGGAGGGGTGGTGGGTATCTTGGAAACACAGTCAAGAATTGCCCCTTCCACTTAACTCTCTGGGTCTGGCAGCAGCACTATAGCCCCATTTTTCAGAGGAGATAAATAGACCTGGGGGCCACCTCTGCTCCAGGGAATATGCCTTGGCTACCTAAAACCTAAGGGTTTAGGTTTTGGGGACTTCTGCTCCATTGCATTTTCCTCTGGCAATCTGTAGGTTGGCCCCAGTTGTCCACTTCAGAAGAAGAAACTGAGGCAAAAGAGGCCTGGTTTGTTGCAGGAAACAACAGTATTCATTCTTGGTTACTCCCCCCCCCACCTCCTCCCCCCAAAGCCCCACCGAGAGTCCAGATGAGGGGGATGCCCTGCATCCCAAGTCCTCCTCCATTAATCTTTTCTGACACTCTGAAGTCTGAGCTGGGGATCCAAGGAGAGGGTGAGGGGCAGTCATGAGCAGACAAGGTGGGGAAGCCTGAGTCCTCCTCAGTCCGCGGCCCCGTCCTGTTGGGGACATGGAGGGAGGGTCCATACCTCTTCAAGAAACCCCTGGAAGGGAGAGTTACAGCCCTCTCCCTCTCCTGGCTGCAGCTGGGGGCGGGGCTGTGACCCACCCGTAGGGCTGGGACCACCCCGTAACTCTCTTTTCAGGCGCCCCCTTCGCGGTGGCCTTGGAGGCCAGTAACCTTTTTTCGTGGGCTCCCGGATCGGATGGGGATGAAGAGGAGGGGGATAAGACGCCGGAGCCGGGAGGGGTCCCGAAACCCGAGCAGCGGCCAAAAATAATAACACGGAGAAGGATCTTAGCGCAAAAAAGGAAGATAAACTATGCGTCGCTCCAGGCAGCCGGCGATACCTGGAGTTGGCGGGCGGAGGCCGCCGGAGCGATTACTCACCGCGTGGCGCACCCCACCCGCGGGCCGCTGAGTGGATTTTTCCGTGGGGGGGATGTGAATGTGTCCCAGGAGAAGTCCTCCTTACGCTCTGCTCATGGGAATCCCTCCTATCC